GTACAAGCGGAATGTGTGTGCGTCATGATCTCTTGTGGGGATTTGCTCACAAAAGCGCATAAAAAGAGAAACAACGATCATCTGCTTTACCTTTGCTCAAAAAAGTGAATAAATTTTCAACAAAGCCACTATACTAGTAATGTTCAGAATAGCAGAAGGCAGGTTCTTGCTTTAGCTACCATACGCCCGGAATCGATTCACCCAGTCAAACGACTTCAGAATATGCTTATATCAATACAAATTTCGCCAAAACAGTGCACAGCTACATAAATCACAAAATCCAAAAACAACCCCAAAACGGAAACCAATTCACTCGGGTGTTGAACTCTGTTAAAAAAAAAACCCAACTCAAAGCAAGTCAAAATTGACCAAGGCCTTTTAAGCTATTTAAGAAACAGATAAATTATCAGCAACAGCCATCAAAGAGCCTTCTGCTGCAAAAAAATGACGACGTAGTACTAAAATTGTCCTGCAGAGCTAAAAGAATTTAGACTAAAGAAGTAATTTCTCAAAAGAGGCATTCAGAGCTTCTCCTTTAAACTAGATGAGCACGCAGAGAGCACTTCTCACGCAATTTTTAATGCTTCACACACTAATATCTTCCAGTTACTAATTCAGCTATGATTCCAATAAAACAAATTAATTTCTTTACTCTCATACACGGTAAATCCTTCCTATTAAATGATCATCCATATGCAAAAATACACTGAACTAATGCTTTTGTTGGAAAGATCGTCCATCTAATAAATCATTCAATAAACGAGACGAATACGACCATGAAGGAAAGCTGTCTTGATCAACACACTTACAGAAGTACAAGAATCACCGTCTGAGGGCGTACCAGAAATTAACAGCTGCTCGAAGACAACTTTTATAATTTCTTCAAAATTGAAAAAAAAAAATCCTGCAGATTTACCAGAACAGGCTTTGGAAGTTGCAGTCACCAACCCCATTCAAATAACACAATATTTTTCATGTGTATATATGAGTGAAGATGCACCATCAGGGTGAAACTGGCAGCAGCAGCAGCAGCAGAAGCTCTGTAGGCTAGTTCTGATCAATTCGCTATTTTTGTTCTCTAATATTCCCTGAATTAGTAACGAAAGCAACAAAATAAGCAAACCTGATGGAAGCAGTATGCGGCAATCCAGATACCGTAGAGCAACACGGGAAAATCTCCAGAAGGCTGTTTAAATGATGGTGTCCACCAAACAATTGCAGCAAATATTCCGCTCATAAATATTCTATAAATTTAGTCAGTGGCAGTTTTTACTGTAAACAAGATTTAGCCATGCACTGGGACAGCTTGTCTCAAGCGAAATCAGGGATGTTGATGTCTTCTCTTTCTTTAATTTCTATACTACGCGATGAGTCAATGAGTCAATTTGGAAGCGATGAGTCAATCTGGCCGCTAACTGGCCTATGTGACGCCTCCGTTGTGTGAATTGCCGTGATGTGCGGTCGTAAGTGGGCTGCCGTTACCCCCGAACTTTCCAGATTTGCAATGTGTGTTACGCACGCGTTTTATTTGTACTGCTCCTCTACGTGTTATGCGAGGTATTGTGGCGAGCATGTGCCGTCGGTACACGCGGTACTTTGGTACGGCTCACGTAGCCTATGCTACTACGAGGCCGGCCTCATAGCGTCACCGGGTAACGAACTTTGTTTGTTCTAGTGTGTTCAGGAAAAAGCCCCATGTCCTAATAGTCCGAGGCTTCGGTGTAGGGGAGACGGAAGGGGGGG